TTCGAAGATAAATTTCCCTCTTATATATTTCACTTTCTTTCTTTTTCTCTCCCGTGGGTGTTTAACAATTCGGTCAGACGTAATGTCCAATAATATATAATTCATAGTTTCGGAACGGAAAGGAACGATTCCACGATTCGAAGGAATTTTATTTTTCTGGTCTAGTGGTTCTAGTTGCGAAGCGTTATGGTATTCCACCGTGGCGCGTAGGATCGCGAGATACGCGTGGAAGTATCAACACGAGTTTATTAGCGTCTGCGAGGAGACGTATCTTGAAATAGATACAGACTCTCTCTCTTTCTCTCTCTCTCTCTCTCTCTCTCTCTCTCTCTCTCTCTCTCTCTCTGTTGGAGGGGGGACATAGTGATCACAAAACTGTTACAGCAAGTGTCGCGCACTTGTCATAAACCTCCTCGACGTATCGTACCAACTTATTATCACCCATTTCGTGATCTTCCATCGAGGCTCTCTCACGAATCCGATTATCCAAAATTCAAGTGTACCGTAACCGAAAAACATCCCTTAAATGTTCTTCGAGGAAAGATTCAACATCTTGATTGCTCTCTAATAATCCTTCCTTCGTTAATTTAACGAGAATCGATTAATTCATCCGATTAATATTTCCCTCGAGTCCTCCAACACGGATAGAAGGGGAGGGGAATGTTGAAAGCTCCTTTACCTTTACTATAGAGAGAGAGAGAGAGAGAGAGAGAGAGAAAAGAAAGCATTTCTCTAAAAACCGCGAAAGCCAGAAGGCTTTTAGAAAAATCGATCGGCCGGTGTTTTATTCAACACCGGGAGGGATTATCGATTTCTTTTTTCCAAGGGAAGACGAAGGCGGCCCGCCTTGAAACCACCAACCCGTTGCATCCCCTCTTTTTCTCCCCTCCCCCCTCCCCTCGACAAGGACGTTGCGCCGAATGGATGCAGGGTGCGTTCACCTTCTCGTTGCTTGCTCGCATCCCTGCTTCTTTTTCTTATTCCCATATTCTCTTTTCTCTCTGTTTCCTTTTTTTCCCCTTTCTCTTTCTTTCTTTCTTCTCTTGCGAGCGAGAAGAAAAGTCTTTTCTCCACGATTCTACTCTCTCTCTCTTTCTCGTTGTTGGTTTAAAAGCCGCGAAATCACGAGGACTTAACGAGGACTCGGACTACTCGAGCGAAACAAAGCAAGTGTTCTCAGCATCGGTGGCCGTAACGTAACGACGACGGTGATTCTTTAAACAGGCGAATCTTGAATTTTTATCGGGAGAGACTGTAGATTGGCGCGATTCGAAATCTTTCTCTTGCTTGGTGAGAAAGTGAGGAGTGGCGAGGAAGAGGGAGAGAGAGAGAGAACGTGAACCGTGAAAACGAACCGTTTCACGCCGTCAAACGAGCCCCCTTTCCTTTCTCTTTTTCCTTCTCTTTCTCTTTCTGTCCTTCTCTTGTTTGTTTACCGAGGCTGACGTTTCAATTAAGTCGGAGTACCAGCGAAATTTTCACCGGTTACTTGTTTTCTTTGGACTTCTTTTCAGGTTCAATTTCTGGAATCAAGAAGCTGAAAAAAACCAGACTACTCGGGCGAAGCTTCGCTATTTCTTTTTTTTTTTTCCTTTCCTTTTTTTTTTTCTTTCCTTCTTCTCTTTTTCCTCTCCCTTCGTTTCTTTTCTTCTCCCTTTGTAGAAATTTCTCTGAAACGACGATTCAAAATTGGACGTGGAAAGAAGCACAATATGCTCAAATTTCAGTAGCTTGTTCTTTTCCATCTTTTTTTTTTTTCTTTTTCTCTCTTCCCCCGCTTTGAAACGAGCTGCAACTCGAGCGAGCAAAAAGTAATGAAGACGGAACGGGGAGAGTGTCCTCGTCGTCTTTATGCACTTTACTTTATTCGCTATAATTAAAGTCGACGTTAAATAAGTGTACCGCTTCTTCTTTATGCATTAACAAGTTGTACCCCTGCTTAATAATCAACGCGTCGCATCATTGCTGGAAAAACAGCAAAAAAGATCGATCTCGTTAATAAAAGTTCTATCGTTGTTTGTCCACAACTCCAAACGAATCGAGCATTATCAGATATTATTATCCCGACAATCCTTGGAAATTCCATTATTTTCAAGAAGGGGGGAAAAAAGAAGAATCGAATCGATTTCGACCAATTATTAAAGATTGTTCTTCTCTTTTTTAATTTTCAAACAGAAATACCAAATTTGAGGTAGCAATAATACAATAATCGAATCCCCTTCAAGGCAGTAACAGGTCGACCTCCACGTCAAACATAATTAAGCCGAGAAAAGGACAGGGTGTCGAGTGGGTCTCTCTCTCTCCTCACCCTGGAAAAGAAGGCGTCTCTCCTCGGGGTGGGACGTGCAAGTTTAACTGGTTGAGCCGGTGAAAAATGGAGCGAGAAAATGCGAAAAGCGCAACGATGGCCCGCGAGGGTTTGTTCCACCAAGGGTCTGCTCCTTCCTCGCATGCTCGCATTTCAGGCTGACAAGCCGCACAGCTATGCGTGACCCGTCCGCGTGCGTAATTCCGCCGGGACAAAGAGGAAGCGAGAGGGGGGAAAAAAGAGGAACCGAGAAAGAAAGGCGGGGAAACGGATCGATAGGGACAGCTTGCTGTGACGTTGCCGAAGAAACCACACGTATTTCACGTATTAACCGCTATCCAGACGCGAGGAGTGGCCGCTGTGCTCATGGAACCTGGTCCCCGTCCGTAATAATTGATCCTTGAATTTTTATCATCCTCCTACATTATCCTCCTCCATTTGGCCTTCCTTCGTTCAAAACCTTCGAATTTATTATCACATTCCCCGTTGAGGATACATCTTGCCGTGTAAATAACAGGAAACGACAACAGTCGCGGATAATATTTTCCACAGATCGTGCTTTCCTTATCCACCTTCTCTGTCAACGATTCAACAAACGAGATCAAACAGTTGGATACTCGTGTTTCGACCGATTATCGAGCTTCACAACTGGCAGGGATTATATAACGTTCTCCTCCTCCGTTCACTGCGCACCGTTTAAAAGAGAGAAGAGAGAAAGAAAGAAAGAAAGGGAAACAATTTAACATCGATTCTCGAGTTTCCATCTTCGAGAAGAGAGGAGAAAATCCTTGCTCCCTCGACGAGAAAAGTGGGAGAGAATCAAACAAGTTGAGGCTACCTGCTAAATAATTTTCGCACTCCTCTCGGTGGCCGATTCCGTGATCATCGAGTAGAGACGCGTACACGCTGACGTTCCACGTCGATGACGTCGAACGACGACGACGAAGGAAGATCCAGGTGGCCGACAACTCTTGGCACGCCTCGCGTGCCATCTCCTTCCCATCCCAGTTGCGCAATCCAGAACGCCCTGCCCGAATCGGGAATCCACAAGTCTGGCCACACGCCTCTCCGCTCGCTTTCCTTTCGACCGAGCCCTTCTGGATCGCGTCCAACGACCTGCCTTCACTCTCGTGAACGCAGGTTGGTTAATTAGTTGTTTAGTTCGCAGAGCAAAAAACAATCCAGTCGGTCGTCATCGTTCTCTTTGTCGACGTCGTATTTAATCGTGTTCCCGCGGTTACGGGCTTCCGTGACCTTCGCGCTGCCCGCAAATCCCCAAGCTTTCTTCGCATCAACGGCACGTATTCGTTCTCGTCGATTGAAAAAAAGAAAGAAAGAAAAAATTTTCGCGGATCGATTATCGAATGGGAGGAAATTGCTTGGAAATTGTGCTTTTTTCTTTTTTCTTTTTCGATATCGGTGGGATCGAGATAACCGAGTTTCGTCCCTCTTCTCCATTCGAAACCTTGAAAAAGAACAGAGCAACGAGGAAAATTCACGAAAGTCCTTTTTTAATATTCTTCGATCAAGTTAAATTCGCAAGCGTCCCGATATCGCATCGATACGCGGGTATTCTGAGCGTAAAGATCGATGTTTTTTCGTCACTACGTATATATCTTAGAACGTGAATTTTTATTAAAAATAAAGTAAAAGATATTTCGCGTATATTTTTGGAAAAGTAGAAAAAGTGGCTAAAGAGAAGTCCAAGTGCACACGTTCCACAAGTAGATTCCGTTGCATTTTCTACGATCGTTTCTGCTACGAATAGATTATCGAATTTCTTTTACCGCGAAATTCGAAAGGAAGTTTCCCGTGTTTCAAGGGACGTCGAACGAGTCGACCGGTGACGCGTGTTCCTGGAAAGGCAGTGTCATCTCTGGCTCGAAGCGTTTCCAATTCGATCGTAGCAAATTACTCGTAACAGTCCCCTCCCTCCATTCCCTGAAAGAAAACAGAGCAACGAGTAGGAAAATTCACGAAAGTCCCTTTAACATTCTTCGATCAAGTTGGTTCGTCTTTCGATTCGAAGGTGTATCGCTAATAAAAACAAATGGAATTATTCCACTTAGCGTTAAAAAAAAAAAGCGATATGTTTGCCCGCGTTAAAAATAATGTTTCCCGGGAAAATTGTTTTATCGCTGCCACGTTAACCCTTAACGGTGGTGGTCGAGAGAAAACGTTTGGATCGAATCCAGATTCGATTTATAGGAAGTTACCAAAGCCTTTATTGCCACGCTCGATCCTTGGCTAACATCAAACAAGACGCGAGACGTTTTACGGACCACCTCGTCTAATAGACGTTCCCTAAACGTCGAACGTGGATATTTATCGCGCCAGACACCCGTGCCTCTGTTCGGTGGTCCCGTTTACCGCCACCGATAAAGAAGTATATTTCTTTATGAAGATTAACGTATCCTAATATAATTTCTTCCGTTATAATACCTGGAAAACGATATTCGTTGCTCCATCGAGCGTCGCTGTGTTTTCTCTGAATGCCGGAATAGATTATCGTCCAAAGATATATGTATATATATGCTTGCGTTAATTTGCACTCGGCTCGAAACTTTTCGAATTTTTCTTTGATTCATATTGTTATTATATAGCTCGTGCTGATAAAAAGAGAAAAGTCTACCAATCTTGGCAGAATTGGTTGTTCAACGTGGTCGATGATGGATATTTTTTTCTGTCACAGGCACCAAGTTTCTGTGCAGCGAGGTGATAGCGCTAATAAGGAGCGAGGTGGACGAGATCTGCTTGCAAATCATAAATTTCGAGGATTTGAGCTCGCAGCCATCCCCGCAGCCTGCAATTCCGCCCCCAAGCCAGACCAACAACAGGCTCGTCACACGCTGTAAGTTCCAATCTCTCTTTTTTTTTTCGTCCTCTCTCTCTCTCTCTCTCTCTTTCTCCATTTCATCCAGATCCATGTTTCTCATTTTCCACTTTGATTCATCCGCTGCCAGAGAATCTCACTCTTGTAAATTTCACGTCCAATTTGCATTCGCGTGTTGTGTGTTTGCGCTCCCTGTACGTTTCCCGCCCCCCTCCCCTCCCCGTTTATTACGAAACGTTTTGGGAATTAATGCCTGGGTCTACTCTTTATCAAGTCCTTTTAAAAGGAACGTTGTGCGCGTTTATTTAAATCGCAATTTCGTTTAAACTTTTCGTGTGTCTTTTTCTTTTTCTTTTTTATTTTTTTCTTTTTTTCTTTTTTTTTAATCCCCGTAACGGGAAGAATATGTCGACGCGTTTGAAGATGATGAAAAAGTACTTTCGATTCCGGTAAAAATGTCTCACTCGTGTTTGTCCTATTTAATCCGGCGGATATTTCTCTTTTTTTTTTTTTTTTTNTTTATTTTTTTTTTTTTTTTTTTTTCTTCTTCTTCTTTTTTTCTTTTGCGCTTGTGCAACGTCGAGAACACTACTGGGTCACGTAGTCAAGTGTTAAGTTTGGGTGTGTCTGTGGGGGAGTACTTGGGAGCGCGGCGTGACCTTTCTTGCCACAGACTGACGAAAAGTGCTTGTAAAAATTACCACCGAGAGGCTTTATTTGTCGGACAGATGCATTCTTTTCCAGTCGGCGGACTAATGAAATTCGAGCTGTTTCCCCGCTTAATAATCTTCTCCCCCCCGCTGATCGATCGAGAGATTGATTAATTCACTGTCGATTAAAATGTTTGTTGAGCGAAGAATCGACGAGGATAAATCGAATTAAAATATATTTATATATCGATTCGTTGAAAGATCAGATTGTAAGATCAGAAGTTGGAATCAATCCCGAGAACAGAATTAATCTTGAAATTAACCTCAGACTACTTTCTGAGGTCTTAGGAGGATTAATTCTTTCTTCGTTCAGTTTCGAGATTAAAGACCCGATTTTAAGACCTCGAACAGCTTAAAACTATCCTATACCCTCAGGAATCGTCCATGATTCAAATTTCTGGATAACGCAAGAGTGAGTTTAATAATCTTAGATTTGAAAACAATCCATCAGGAGATTTACAACCCGTGAAACGTTCAACAATAAAATCACTTTATCCAATTTAGAAACGAGAATCGAAATATATCGATCATCGAATTTTTTTGAACGAAAGTTGATGCTTGAATTATGAAAATTTTGAAATTTTTTTTATATTTGCCTCTTCCTTTCTTCGCTGAACGTTTGAAAATGGCGGTATTCTAGCAGAGCATCCCAATGTGCGCGTAAAGTGTGCTTCGAATGTGAAATCTCGAGTGCATCCTTTCGCTTTGACGAAGTGTGTTGAAACTAATTAACTAATCAAAATAATCATCTTCGAAGGAAAACGTTTAAACGATCGGTTTAAAGTTAACACTTTTGGAAGGGAATCGACATATCTTCCGACATATCGAAAGGGATTAATTAACTTCGCGTTCCTCTGTGTTTATTAAATGGAAATGGTTCTCTGGTGTTTCGATCACGAGAAAATTAGTTCACCGGATGAAATTAGAATAAGAACTTTTCTCAACCAAGAATTCTATAACCAAGCAATGCACGCTTGCAATATTAATACCCTTTTTTTTTTTTTTATATCGTCATTTGTACAAATTGCGACTCGTATAACCTCTAGAAACACGATCATTACTAAATCAAGGCGTCGTGTATATGTGTTTCGTGGAAGTATCGTCAGGTTCACCGGCGCATGCATTCACCGTTCGATCGCTCGAATTCCAGAAACATGGAACAAGTGCTCGTTACCGAAACAATTTGAAGCCACCCAATAATTCCCCACCCACCTATATTTCATCATCACTTTCTATATCGTTACGCGGTATCAGAAACAATTTGAAACTATCAATTTAGAAAAACTTGTTCAAAATTGATTTTGAACGAGGTTAGAAATTGTAAATTAAAATTAAAATTCTAAATTTTTCTAAACTCCTCAAGAAAATTTATCTTTCGATTTTGATTCTAAAGCAATTTATTCGTCGATAAAGGCTACCTCATCGTGAACGTGTCAAATCTATCTTCAAATTTTTCATTCTTCCTATACAATTTTGCCAGGAAAATATTTTTTACAACAGATTAGAATAGAACGCTAAAATTTGAATATTTTTTAATAATTTAAAATTTTGCTCTATCTCCAAGTCATACTTCCAAACACGAAAATAATACTGGAACTTTGATTTCTCGAAACAAATTTTTTATTAAATTTATTCGTATAAAAAAATTATTTTATATATATATATATTACGATCTTATTCCAATATTTTTTTATTCATATAAAAACGTAGAAATTTTCAAATTCGATAACACAATTAAATCAATTAATTGAACTCGTACGTAATATATATCCTCAAGACTTGTGCATTTATTATATTTTTATTCTCTTACATCATTTCTTTCCCCGAATTCATTAAGAAAAATATTAAAAATCAAAAATAACACAATTAATGAAACTACGTACGTAATATATATCCTCAAGACTTGTGCATTTATTATATTTTTATTCTCTTACATCATTTCTTTCCCCGAATTCATTAAGAAAAATATTAAAAATCAAAAATAACAATTAATGGAACTCGTACGTAATATATATCCTCAAGACTTGTGCATTTATTATATTTTTATTCTCTTACATCATTTCTTTCCCCGAATTCATTCAAGAAAAATATTAAAAGTCGAAAATAAAAACTCTCTCTCTCTCTCTCTCTGTGTCTCGAAATTCGATTACGATCTTCAAAGTTTCGATACAATACGTACGTATTGTTCCGTTACCGCGTATAAACAATGTCGCGATCGAGTGAAACGTAAATAGACGCGTTACGCCTCGGGCTGAATCGATTCCAGGTAAACACGTACGTAACATTTTCCCCGAAATTGTCGGGACGGGCATCGACGTTTAAATTCGTTGGTAAGCGCTCAGAGTACGTGGATCCGGCGAGGAGAGAGGATCTACAGCGCGGCACCGAACAGCCTCGACACTGTGTCTTCTGCCAAAACATTTCGTGCCACCATCGCATATACTTCCCTCCTCTGCGGCTTTTAAGCTGGAGAATCATTATTTTCTGCTGCACCGATCGGTATAAGGCGGCATGGTCGACGTTCAGGGCCGGCCCGCTAACAACTGGGCCATGTGGCACACGTTAGAGAACCAGAAGATTATTACAATCGGAGATCGAGGTCAGATTTGGCCGCATAATGAGTCGCGCAACGATACTCCTGCGCCACCGGCGAATTACTCTTTTGCACGTCCTTCCGCGTGTCACGTTTCGATCGTGCTCGTACCTCGCCAACGGTAAATGCGGATATGCGCCTCCTTTCCCCTCTTTAGTTCAATTTTTTCTCTCTCTTTTCGCCGTCGTTATTTCTTCTTTCTTTCTCTTCTTCTTCTTCTTCTTCTTCCTCTTCTTCTTCTCGGAGGAGGAGGATAGATGGGATCATCTTATGAGAAAAGTTTCTTCCAACTTTCGATCGAGAGGTTTCTTCGAATCGTCCGTAATTGATCCGCAGCTATCCTTCCGCGGTTCGACCTTTCTTATCATCCTCCGACCATCCGACCGTTTAAGTTTTAAGTATATAGTATAAACTCGGAATAGGAAAAGTTGCGATTAAACGAGACTCGGCTCCTACCTTCGATTCTCTTTAATCAACCTTGAGCCAGTTTTTCCTCCCGCTTTTGTACTCCGATTTTCTTCCTCCCTTTTGATCGTCCCTGTTGATTTCGCAACGCGATAACCGGTCGTAGACGATTCTCTAACCGTCCGTTCTTCCGTTCTTGTCCATAAATTTCGATTTTTCGATTTCGAATTTCTCAAAAGTCTCTCTCTGCGATTTCAATTTTTCTTCTTCTCTCTTTTCTTCTTTTTTCTTCTTCCTTTTTTCCACTCCGTTCCCCTCGTTGTTTCCGTTTCAATCGCACGACACGAATACAGAAGATTCGTAGAGCGAATGTTTCTGGGTAATTTCATCGCAATTCCAAGTAGACACATTCGAGGCACACGCGAGAAGGAAGAGACGCGTGGTCACGCGTTTTATATCTGGAGTGTTCGCGAATACTATTTTTAGAATGACGCCGCAGAACAGTAACTGGACGTGTGTGGCGCGCCTAACTGTTAACCCTGACCCGGTAATAAATATTATACCCCCGTACACGAGGAAGCTATAGGCACCCCTCCCTCCCCACCTTGATAAATCCACCCTCCCGAGCCCCCCTCCCGAGCGAATCAACCGGCTGGGCACAACCCTGAGAATGAAATTGATTATTAAAATGGACGAGTGGAGTGGAGTTGTCGTTGATGGACGTTCGAAACCGTCTCTTCTCTCGTTTCTTACTCTTCGCGCAGATACGCAGATACTCTTTTATCATCCATTTTTTACTCGAAGCGAAAATTGTAATCGTCGGGCGAACAATTTTTAATCAAATTTCGCGGGGACAAGAGAGAGAGAGAGTTTAACTTTGATGAGAATTGGTTATCGTATTCGTTCCTTTTCTACCGCTTTATCGATTAAGTTTCTATTCGAGTTTCTTCTTTGGTTATATTTTAAAACGCGTTTCCCTTTCGATTCTAAAGTAAAATTAGCGTGGTGTGTGTCAGTTTTATCGAGCGTTTTACGCGACGTCGAGTCTTCGTTTTTCGAGAAACGATTCGATCGATCTTTCGACTTTCTTTCTTTTTTTTTTCTGCGACGAGCAACCATTTCGACGGACGTGAAAAAAGAGGGATGCGTTTAATAAGGATCGATGGTTCCGTGTGCATCGTGGAAAATTGCTTCCAATCATCAACAATCTTTCGCCTCACGCTTCCCCTCCTTTAATCTTCCTTTTGCATGGGACGGTTATTTAATATTGGTTGGAAAAAAACATTCGTTTCGATTTATCGTTACATTCGTCATTATTCGAGGGATTATTCATAAAATTCTGTCTTACTCGAACCGTGTGGTCTTTTACATTTTCTCGTTTATCGCGATCGAAAATCAGATTATCGTATTTCGGTGCGTGTAGTTCAACGACTCACGGCGTTTGGCCCAAAATCAAAGAGCTTTACGATTAGCAGCACAGAGGCTGCTGTAGTGTAGAATTCGTGTGCCAACGATCCGATCGTGCACGCGACCAGATAAATCGAAAGTTCCGCGCCATCTGGCTCGCCCAATACGATTCCCTGTCCAAAAATCCCCCCCGCCTCTCTGTCTTTGAATTTCAAAAATTCACTCTCTCTCTCGAATTCTCTTCCATCTCTTGTACATCCTTCTTCTTCGTTCGTTCGTTTTTCATTCATCAAGAAAGAGAGGGAGAGAGAGGTTTCGTCTCAGGTATCCAATTTCAAAAATTCACTCTCTCCCAACTCTTGTACATCTTCCTCCTTCGTTCGTTCGTCTTTCATTCATCAAGAAAGAGAGAGAGGTATCCAATTTCAAAAATTCACTCTCTCTCTTTCGAATTCTCTTCCAACTCTTGTACATCTTCCTCCTTCGTTCGTTTGTTTTTCATTCATCAAGAAAGAGAGAGAGAGAAGTATCCAATTTCAAAAATTCTCTCTCTCTTGAATTCTCTTCCAACTCTTGCACATGTTCCTCTTTCGTTCGTTCGTTTTTCATTCATCAAGAAAGAGAGAGAAAGAGATAATTTCAAAAATTCTCTCTCTCTTGAATTTTCTCCCAACTCTTGTACATCCTCCTTCGTTTGTTCGTTTTTCATTCATCAAGAGAGAGAGAGAAAGAAGTATCCAATTTCAAAAATTCTCTCTCTCTTGAATTCTCTCCCAACTCTTGTACATCCTCCTTCGTTCGTTCGTTTTTCATTCATCAAGAGAGAGAGAGAGAGAGGTATCCAATTTCAAAAATTCACTCTCTCTCTCTCAAATTCTCTTCCAACTCTTGTACATTCTTCTTCTTCGTTCGTTCGTTTTTCATTCATCACGAAAGAGAGAGAAAGAAGTATCCAATTTTAAAAATTCTCTCTCTCTCGAATTCTCTTCGTTCGTTCGTCTTTCATTCATCAAGAAAGAAAAAGAGAGAAGTATCCAATTTCAAAAATTCTCTCTCTCTTGAATTCTCTTTCAACTCTTGTACATCTTCCTCTTTCGTTCGTTCGTTTTTCATTCATCAAGAAAGAGAGAGAGAGAGGTATCCAATTTCAAAAATTCTCTCTCTCTCGAATTCTCTTCCAACTCTTGCACATCTTCCTCTTTCGTTCGTTCGTTTTTCATTCATCAAGAAAGAGAGAGAGAGAGAGAGAGAGAAAGGTTTCGTCGTATTCAATTAATTTTCCAAGCCAAAGTCATCGCCCGATTATTCTCGATGCTCTCTCAGGTGTTGGTGGAACGCGATTCGCGATTCTCCCCCGCGAAAGTTTGTTTAATCCAACCGGTGACTAACTGGTTTACGCGTAACCAACTCAAACGCTCAAACACAAATGAGAAAAATATATTGCGGAAAGTAGCGCAGCTCAACTCTCTCAACTTTGTATCTGATAATAATAATTGCCCGAAAATACGCGCGAAATACAAGAACAAGAAATAATATATGGGGAATAATGGATAAACGATTTGCGGACGTGGAAGGAAAGAAATTTTGAAGCGAAGCTTTCCACGCGTAGGATATTTTATTTTTCGCAATATACGTTTCTTACGATGCTTTTGTACAGTTTGCACTAACCAATCACTAATAAGATTCAATGACGTTGACTGGAGCAGTCGACAGGGCAAGGGCGTCGTTCCGTGCTGGCCTCTCCAGGACCGGTGTCGTTGGTCCGCCAAGGGTCAGGAATCGGCCGAGAACCGCGACCAACTTACCTCACCGACTTGCTGACGGGACCATCCTCGACGAGGACGCCTCTGAGAACTGGTGAGTGATCTTTTGCGAGCAAAAATTTTCCTTCCATTCTCCATCCTTTTCGACCTGCAACGATCTTACTTTGAACTTACTTACACTCTTCAATTGTTATCGTGTCTTCTTCCATCTATAGGAATAGAGAAGAAATTTTCACGAGATTTTTCTTCTGATATCTTCTAATACTCTAATATTCGATCCTTGACGCGATCAAATTGCGTTAATGTGGAATTCGAATATTGAATGTGGACAGATTAGATTAATCTTTTCAAATTGTTGTGATTCTAATATAACGAGATCTTTATATTATTTTCTTTATCTCAATTGGGAAAAATCGTCTCTCTCATGGAAAGAGAGAGAGAGAGAGAGAGAGAGAGAAACGGGTCGAGCTCGTGATTCGTCGTAGTTGCGCAAAAGCCAATTAAGAAACTGACGAAGCTCACCTAACTAAGCACACTCGGCTCGTTAATGATACATCGTATTGTTTTCACGCCGCGTTCGAGGCGCTACGATGAAGCCTGGCATTCGATACACTTTCCCGAATCCCTCCCCCTCTCCGTTTCGATATCTCGTTAACCCAATATAATCGATCGGCGGACCAAGAACTGGCCAATAGGAAATCTCAATCGTTTCATACAACGTTTCTGTCCGAATCGAATTTTCGATCGTGTACGTGACGATATTTTCGTAGTTTCCAACAATTGCTGCGCCATCTGGTATAGCTGGAATTTTAGAATTTCAAGATTCCGTTCTTCTAACATCCGATCAAATTGCGTTAATGTGGAATTCGAATAACGAATATTTACCTTATTATTCGGTGAAATTGTTCTTTCGAACAACGTGTCGAGTTAACGCGATGTGTGGACAGATTAGATTACTTTTTCAAATTGTTGTGATTCTATATAACGAGATCTTTATATTATTTTGGAAGTTTTGAAGTCTCTGAAACGAAAGGGAGGCGCTCGAATCTTGGAGAGGGGATAGGGAAGAAATGTTATTCGCATTTTGGCCAAGATGGAAAGATCAACGTTGCCCCGATAATTCAAATTCTTATTTTTAGAACGATCGAATTGAATTATTCTTTTTATTTATATGCGTTTTTCGATTTATTTCGATAGCCATATCGGCGCGCAATTCTTCTATCTATTGGAATGGCGACGGTGCAAAGTGCCACCATCGAGGCAAACAGTTTTATAATACGGAGTATTGGCAACAAGCAGAAAACACGGTAATCTCGAATGATCGAAAGCAAACTCGAGATCAAATATTGGCATGTTTCTGTGTAAACATCAGTTTCGTGCGGTATCGTTGAATTGATTAAAGGTTTCGTAAACAACTCTTATCGATAATTCTACCGCACGAATGAGTCACGAATCGTGGCCTATATTTTTTTTCGTTGCGTTGAACGCCATTTGCTTCTCCCTTTCCACGTGTCACGATTCACGATCATTCGAGATGTATTCTTTCAAATCCAGGAAAGATTCAACGAAAGAATTTTCTCTTTCAAACGAGAGGATTTCCCTTTTTCTTGCGAAAAAAGAGAAGGGAAATTCAAAGAAATTATCTGGTGGTAATCGGTAAGAGAGTGATAAAAATATTCCTATTTTTAACCGCTCAAAGATTATCTATCCCCTCGTTTCTTTTTCACTTGCACGACTTTGAAGTACGAAAAGTGTAGAAGGAAGAAAGAGGAGGCGTTCCGTTCTTCCAAGATCAACTTAGAGTCGCCGTTTTTTCTTTGCGGCTAGCATTCTCTTCAGCCGACGATCGATCGAACGTCCCCCCTCCCCCTCCCTCCCCTAGCTGGGAGCGATTCCTCGTTCTTGGCAATTGTATCGCTGCAATTGCTACTGGCAATCTCTCCTCACCGATCTCTCGTGATCGCTTTTCATCGCTCAACGATTCTTAAAAAACTTTCCACGTTTCCCCTTACTCATCAGCAGCAAAATATTTCTGGTGTTGGAAATAAAAGATTCGAATTTCATATCGAAGAATAAAAGCTCGATATCGTGTTCAATGAATATGAATATCTTCCTCGCGAACAAGAAAAAATCGAACAGATGTAGGATCGTAGCTTCTTTCTTTGTCCTTTTAACCGTTTTAGTGCCATTGATTTTTACACATATCTACTTAAAAATGCCAAAGAAATATTTTGTTTTTGATGTCATTTACCTTTGTCTCGAAAAAAAACTGTATCTCTTCCAAAAAATATCCAATTTTAATTATTTTTTCAGTGTTTTATCGATAAAAACTTGTACAAGGATAATAAAATACAAAGAACATTATAGAAATATATATTGTGAACGAAAATTATAACAAAAACTGGAAGCTAAAAGTAGAAAAGTTAACATGTGTGCTTTACCGCACAGACTGCATGGAGTCCCTTCTTACAGCGGGCACAAATCAAATTGCTCCTCTTCACAGCTATCAGTTTCTTCACAACTTGAAGAACGATCATTCTCACTCGAATTATTTTCGTATTCCGACATTATGGGGAAAAAAATTATTAATAATATTATAATTTGGACTTTACGTAACACGTAGAAAATTAAAAAATTAGCAATTTTAGTTAAAATGCACCGGTTCGGCACTCAAACGGTTAATGTTAGAATTCGATATCAATGGGTTGAATAATGCATGGGAAAAATACAAAACACGTGGTCGAATATCAGACGATCTCCGCCGGTTCGTCACCGACTCGTCTCTTCCCCGAAACATCCACTCGTTTGTTTAGAGATGTAGAACCCCCTTCTTACTCTCCCTCTTATCGCGATTCACCCTACACAGATGAATGAGCTGAGGGTAATTTTACCATAGGCAAACGTAAAGATCGGAGAGAAGGATATTTTAGGAAGTAAATTGCGAGGATCGTTTTGAAAATCCGTTTTAAAATTTCGTTTCGAGGATGATCGGGCGATGAAATCGAAGATGGACACCGTTGCGATTTAAATTAAATCGAAGAGGGTTCGAAAAGGAATTCTTCCTTCGACACAAACTCGACGGAGAATGCGAGCAAAATGGGAAAAGTTGCTTTCGTTACATTTCACGGCGTTCGTAAAGCAGAGTTTACGTTTACCACGACCCCCTTCCTTTTCGGAGGAAACTGGAGGAAAAATATGTTTTCGACGGTATTTCCGATAAAAGGCAGCTGGTCGCAGTTTCTCGTTGGTGCGCGAATCTCGAAGACAGATGCGGCTTACATCTCTGGCCGACTATAGCGGAAGAAAATGTCGTCGGCTCGGAGATCGTTCGTTCTCATTCGGTGGGGGATCGGCCGATTTTTAAACACCTTCCGCCAACTCGATGGCGGAAGGTTCAATTTCCTGCCCGATCGCGGGAAACTCGATACCCGTCGACCCAATTCCCAGGAAAAACCTTCGAAACCAGCCGTTTCCCCTCGGGATTAAGGAGAACCTTCCTCCGTTATTATCTTCCCCGTGTAAATTTTATCTCGATATTCTTATTAGTCTATTAATCGATTAGCCTATTGATTAATCATTTTTACATTCTTCAATTAAATTAATCCTTTAACTGCGGGTGTGGCTTATAAACAAGGCGTTAATTTTGACGTAGAGTCTGAAGAACTTATGACAATTATTGTATTCTCGGGAACCAATAAATATTTTGAATACTGTGATGATGAACATAGTCATATTCTAAGAGTATTATGATTTTAGTAAAATATTTTTTTTTTTTTCGTTTAGAGCTATGATAAAAGTATCCGCAGTTAAAGGGTTAAAGAATTTATACGTGTGACAAGGTATTGGCAAATATTTATAGGAAACATCGTTACTTTTTCATAATTTCTTTTTATTTCTATTTTCGAAGTATCGTGCTCGATTCATGCCAGATTTCGTTACCTCTAATTAACAAGATCTAATTATCGATTCGCGAATAGGTTCCTCGGATCTTTATCGGGAAATATTATGTAAAATCATTTTACGTTAGACGCTCGTCGTATTGCTATTTCGTCCTTACATTTGATAAATTAATATATATATGTTGAACAGAAATATTAATATTAGTAATAATATATTTAATATATTTACATTTATTAAAAGAGTTATTATTAGATTAAATTTTTAAGTTAATAGAAAATTTTATTTTCAAATTAATTTATCTCATATTTTTCTTGAGTGGAATCATATAAAGAAATATAAAAAAAAAATGTTTTGTTGAAAAAAATCGTCGAGCCGATTGGAAATATTCGTTTCAACAGCCCTGAGTTTGGAAAATTGTTTAGAAACATAAAACATCGAGCGAAAATACTCGTCGCGTTCCAAGGATCGCTCGATCGATAAACGTGTTCAATGTTGAAATAAAGGAGGGGGGAAATTTAGAAATTTCTCAACGAAAACATATCCCTTGTTACTCGCGTGACGCACGGGTACAATTTAATCAAAATAAAATATAGGATAATTAATTTAAACGCACGCGTGCGATGACACCTCTTGATGGAAGGGGTTCTCGTGGGTGGCACGCGAGTGGCGTTGGCGCGACATAAACAACCCCCTCGGAACCGGGAAGCACGACGGAGGGAAGCACGACGGAGAATAATGCGATCGGTGCTTGCCGACCTTGGAGTCGGGCATCAACTAACGGAGGGACGACAGCAGCGCGCACCAACCGTTTCTCTCGTCAAGGTGAGGCGAGGCGCGCACGCAACCGCAAGGACCGATCGGACGAGTTAGTTGCCCGACTGTGACGGATACCTTGGAAATTGTGACGAGCGCGGAGGGAGAGGAGGGGCGGGTTTCGACCACCCAGTCCATGGGGCACGCGATGCCAATTTTGCGACACTGATAAAAATCTGGGAGGGAGGGGGGAGGAGGAGGAGGAGGAGGGAAAGAAGGAAGGAAAATAGGACGTGGATTCTCGTTTAAAAATTTCGAAAATTGGTTATTCCGTGTGCGTTTATCTTTTTTTTTATTCCTTTCTGGAATGATAAATGATAATTCGTGGAGGGATTTGAAATTTTCCAGCAAATTTTCTAAAAGATAATCGTGCGTTCAGAT